TTTCTATAATGGATAGACTAGATTAGCTGATGGTGACAGAGGATAAGTTTCATCTTATTTTCTATAGGGGAATCTACAAATCTACATTTTAGCTAATTATCTCGCAAACTCTCAAGTCATTTCAACAACTAATTGCAGTTTGTTGAATACAACAGTAATCATGCTTTATTCTTTTCAAAGCCTTTTTGTTCAGAGGATAAGTTTCATCTTATTTTCTATAGGGGAATCTACAAATCTACATTTTAGCTAATTATCTCGCAAACTCTCAAGTCATTTCAACAACTAATTGCAGTTTGTTGAATACAACAGTAATCATGCTTTATTCTTTTCAAAGCCTTTTTGTTCCAGAAGCAGACATGTGGCTCGTGGGCTGGAATCCAGAAACCATCCCATTAGTGACTGCGCTGCAGTTATTAGCCTGTAAATATTCTGCAGTATTAGAAGTTAGGGGATTTATAGGGAGGGTGTTGAGTTTTGATATAATTGTATCGGTAACTTTGTAATATTTGAGTGTAATGAAACCCTTTAAGGGGACATTTCAAATTAGAGTTGACCCATTTCTAATGTATTATACAGGTAACATTGTATAGATAATGCATTAAAAATAATATAAAAATACACTGTAAAATAAGTGGCCCCTTCCTGTAAATTCGTTCCCAAAACAGACGGATGTGCCAAGAATTGAGTAAAGGAAAAGCCGTTGAACCCCCCTGTATCATGTGCTGTAGTTGCTGTGATTAATTCTCAAGTGAATGTATTTCTTCTTAGTTATAAAGGAAAGGAATATTTTATATTGTTCCATGCTGATATGAAGCCAGTATGTTGGTGCAGTGGAATTAGAAGCAGGGCCAATTGTGTAAAAGGAGGTGTTGGATCTTAGATTAGTGTATCACACAGAAAGTGCATGATGGCCGCTCTATTGGTGCTGGAGAAGAATTTAGTAATTACCAACAACTCCCAATGTAATTCAATACATAAATTATCAGTATAATAAATGGTATATGAAAGGGATATTATAATCACCAAAACAACTTTAGCTTAATGAAGCAGTTTTAGTGTACAGGTTAGGCTCCTGCATTCTCACTGCTCAATTCTCTGCCATTTGGGAGTTAAACTTTGTTTTGTTTATGAACCCTAGTCACACCTTCCTGCATGTGACTTACACAGCCTTCCTAAACACTTCCTGTAAAGAGTCATCTAATGTATACACTTCCTTTGTTGCAAATTATGTTTGCTAGATCTTGCAGGGGCCTCCTGTATGTAATTAAAGGGAAACTCCAGTGCCAGGAAAACAATCCGTCTTCCTGGCACCGCAGGTCCCTTCTCCCTCCCACCCCCCAATTCCCAGTTGCTGAAGGGGTGAAAACCCCTTCAGTGACTTACCAGAGGCAGCGACTATGTCCCACGTCGCTGCTTCTTCCGCCACCGCCGCTCCTCCCTGTGATTGCGTCGGCCGGTGAGCCAGACTGATCCCGCCCACCGGCCGGGGAGACCTAATGCGCATTAGAGCTCCCCATAGGAAAGCATTGAAAATGCTTTTCAATGCTTTCCTATGGGGAAATGAGCGACGCTGGAGGTCCTCACACAGCGTGAGGACGTCTAGCGACGCTCTAGCACAGGTTTCCTGTGCTATGATCCAGGAAGTGCACTCTAGTGGCTGTCTAGCAGACAGCCACTAGAGGTGGAGTTAACCCTGCAAGGTAATTATTGCAGTTTATAAAAAAACTGCAATAATTACACTTGCAGGGTTAAAAGTAGTGGGAGTTGGCACCCAGACCACTCCGAGTGGTTGAGGACATCCAGCGTCAATCAAATCCACATAGGAAAGCATTAAAACAATGCTTTCCTTTTGGGAATCCTAATCCCCCCCCCCCAGCTGACGTCAGCCAAAGAGCGTGGGACAAGCCTGGCCCAGCACCGAGGGACATCGGCGCTGGATTCAGGTAAGTGACTGAATAAGGATTTAACCCCTTCAGCACCACGGGAAAAGGGACACTGTATGAACCTATAGTGCCAGGAAACCGGCTTTGTTTTCCTGGCACTATAGTATCCCTTTAAGCTAAATTTGTTTAGATTTTAATATAAAGGCCCATTCAGCATTGTCTATGGCAGAACATGTTTGCTGCATTGTCTGGCTAAATAAGGCAACATTTAAAATAAATACTATTAGTAAAATAAGTAAGAGGGGTAAAAATAATCATAGCTGGAAGGCTGTATAAAAAAATGAATGCTTAAACATAGGGGATTTACACTGTGCGTCTTCACTGGAGACATGTAATTGGCCAGGCTGTTTCAACCAATTACTTCAGGTGTCAGGAGTGACGCAGGAGTGTAAATCCCCTGTGTTACAGCTCACAGTTTTACACGGCATCCTTGATTTAAGGGGTATTTATTCGTCTGATTTAATCATTTTAAAGATAATGTGTTTATTATAGTTGAATGGAATGCCAGTTTGAATGGGTCGGCAATAATGTGCACATTGAAAGTATATACAAAACAAAAAGAGGTATCAGATACTGCAGTATCACCAAAAATGGTTAATATAACTGATAAAATGTTTCACTTGTGCAGCCAGTTCAAAACCACTACTGCCAGTGCAGATAATGCTTCCCTTTTTAAGGAGGACACCAAAAATGCTCTATACACTGAGAAAGGGATGCATTTCTTGCTGTCCATCATTAAAACCTGATAATCTGGTTTGCTTATTCTATCATTTTTAAATATTAATGTGATCAGAACCCTTTTTTATTTTATTTTTTTATTTTTATTTTTTAATATATATACATGTAGAGGTTATGGAAGACTCTCCACATAAATTCGGCACATTGAGGGATGTTGGGGTATATTGGTTCCATAGTGCATTTTCTTGGCATTGGATTTGAATGGGGAATTCACACTGTTGATGGGTGTTGACGGTCCCTTGACGATGTTGCTGGGTGGGGACACTGTGTGTGGGGAGCATGCTTGGCCAATTCCTGAGCGGTAACCCCAAAACTGGACTTGATTATTAACCAACCCTCCTTGTATCCCTTACTTCCTCGATCTTTTACATTCCATTGTGTGTTAGATACCGATTAGTATGCGCAGTTGTACAATTTGTCTGTGTTTTTGGCTACAGTTACCTCTCCTTATAGCCCCCATAATGTCTGCATCCCTTGGCAGAGTTTTCTTTCCCAAACTCCACAGAGGATCCGTAAATGAAAGGTTGTCGGTCCCAACACAGCTTGCTTTTTGAGCAGCAACTGTTCTAGCGAACTGGACTTTAATTTGATCCACATGCTGTGTATATAAAATATATCGGCGCTAACCGTTTCTTCTCTTCCTGTTCCAGATGTGGAAAGCAGCTGCAGGACACTCTCTTTCCATCTCTGCTGATGACACAGACGATTGGGAGACTGATCCAGATTTTGTGGTGAGTTCCTATCTACTGGAGGCCCTTTTTCCTTCTAAGAGTTTCTTTTTGTGGTGCCTGTACATGGCCTTTTCATATTGGCTCCAAAAAGCAGGTCTGTGTTCTAAGTGAGTACCGTTCCTCCACCACTCCCAGTCTTGCCAATGATTCATGCTGCAAGTAGCTCAGGAAGTGGCTTTTTGTGCATGTAAAATTCTTATATGGCTAAAGTGCTGATAATTTTTATAGGGAGTTACTTGTTACTGAACACATTCTAATCATCCTGATTACTTAACCCCTTAAGGATCAAATGGTACACTTTGCCAGTCTAAAATTTAGTCGCTGTAGACCTCATAGCAGCACGGGATGTTCTGCTTGCTTTACATTGAAACAATGCTGCACTTGGTTAAGGAGTAGATCATTTCATTTTGCACTAAGGCTAGTAGATATAAATATATATTATGACCACAGAGATTATTGGTCCTTTTAGAGGTTAAAGTTACAAATTGCGTGAAAGACTAGTTAACATTCAGATGGGTATAGACACAATGTGTACAAACTGCTATTGAAATTAATAGCAAACATTTGGATTTATTTTGAGTTTTGGTTCCCACACACGTTGCCCTGGAGTGGATACATAGCCAGCCCTCCTGTCAGAGCTTCTGGGTAGTGAAATCTACAATCCTGCATTTATCATACTAGGTGGAATCTACAATCTAGTCCCAGAAACCACCCCCTCCTGACTTTGCACAGCCTTCAATTAACCCCTTAAAGGACTAATGATGTTACAGTGTTGCTAAAATCACACAGTTTGGTCATTAATGGGTTAAACACACACTCGCCCCGCTGTAGCTTAGCGCATGTTCAGGTGAGATCTCGACAGACAGGGATAGTATGAAGCAATTTAATTTTTACAGGGCAGCCTCCCCTCATCCTTGTTGGTTTTCTATAACCATAATATGCTTTGTTGAGAAAAATGTGAAGGTGATTTATTACTCTGTGCTCTGCTTTGTGTTGTATAATGTAAAGAATCCTGATATCCTGCCTGATTAGACTGGTTTGAAAAAGGCTGCTTTAAAGTGTTTACAGTCTACGCTAAGTTTGAGTGTTAAAGGGACAGACTGAAATACCCAAATCACTTCATCTTAATGATGAACATGACCAGAAGTGTTCTGTCCTCTTATCCATACACCTACCTGCTACCACAGGCTCATTCACAGCACTGTCTGAGAACATGTATCAGTTCCCTTAACTGTTTATTCATAAAAGTCTCATAAAATGTTTGCTTCCCATTTTGATAGTTAATTGCCATTTGATTTACGTTTGAGACAAAGTTCAAATCAGACTGGGATAGTATGAAGGATTTTTTTTCTCTGCAGCTGGATTAGAATTTATCGTGCTATTGGTACGTGTTTCCAATTGTATTCTGCACCAATCTTAATTGATTCAGTCCTCTGTGATGACTACTGGGTTAATAGAGTATAAAATAAACCAGGTAAGTGGCTCTGTCGCCTCAAACGTACCTTCCTACCACTGGTTTCTCTCTACTTCCTCTTTCAGAGTCTGTTCTCGTCTTATTTCTCTTTAAGACATAAAACTAAAACAAAGTGAGCGCCACTTTGTCTAACACATTTTTCCTACACGTGACAAATGTGTCAAAAGGGCGAGGCTTGCTTTAAACTCCACCTTTTGCCAGGATTGCCTAGTGTAGGAAAAATACATAGGACAAAGTTGTCTGTACTTTTTCTTTTTTTTTTTTTTTTTAAGAGAAATAGTAGAAAAGAACAGATTCTGAGAGGAAGATGAAATAATATGGGAATACAGGAAACCATAGAAGGAAGGTAAGTTTGAGGTGACAGGTCCACTTTGAAAGAACACTCCAAATACCATAACTACTGCAGCTCACTCCTACAAGAGCAGACTGAAAGCAGTTGCTGTGGCCACTGGCACCCAGTGAGACCCAGTTGAGTTGTCAGACTGTACTAAAATAGATGAACTACATACCGTGAGATGTTGCCATGGTTCTTCTGGCACCATAACCACTACGTCATGCTGTAGTGGATGTGATGTTTAGAGTGCTTCCTAAAGCAAAGATTAATGTTGATGACAACTAATTCAGTAGTCTGGGGTCCCCAGGTCCAACACCATTCCAATAAATATTAATATTGTTTATAAGGTAAGGTAGCTCTGCCTTGCAGTTTCTATGGCTTGAACAAGTAACTGACACTGACTTTATTTTTGTTTTGAGTAGAACGATTTAAGTGAAAAGGAACAGAGATGGGGAGCAAAAACCGTAGAAGGATCTGGTCACCAAGAACACATCAAGTAAGTCCTGCTATGTCTTGTATTAGGCCAGGATTTCATTTATCCCATGGGAGCTCAGGGTAATCCTATGGGCTCAGTTAGTGTGCCCAGTTTGACCGGCTTCCTTCTCTCTCTGCTTACACTGTTTGCTCAGAATTGCCGTCAATGGCTGAACGTGGGATATGAAGGCCTCTGTTTTTATTTGGAAAGTCAACATGTTGGCTAAGCATATTTTCTCTGAATTGCATAGATTGCTAGTTAAAACCAGTTTATGATACAACCAGTAATGGACATCACAGCATTAAAGGGACACTCCACAGCCCAAACACAATCACTGTTTAGCAGATATACCCCAGTGAAAACATGCACACTTTTAATAATGCACTTTTTCATTGGGGTATAGCTAAAAACCGCTTACATAACCTGCAGATCTCTTGTCTGTTGCCTTTGCAAACCCTCCTCTTCTAACCCCTCCCAGACTTTCTGTGGCTGTCCAATCAAAGACTTCCCAATGCAGCTCAATGAGACGTCTTGGCAAGGCAGGTGCTCTGGGGAATTGCTGCCTTTTCAGTTTAGCTTCCTGAGCTAAACAACAAGGAAGTAACAGGTCCAATTATCTGATTGATACCAAGGTGGTATCCAGGTACCCAGGTTAATTTATAAAAGTGCCAAGTTCTATTGAAATCTACACTTGTGATAAAATTTAAAACTAGGACACACTCTTCACACATAACCTACTTCAGCAAGCTGAATTGCTTTAGGATCCAGAGTGTCCATTTAAGTGTAATAAGGGACCTTTGTTTCACCAAGCTCTGTGTATTGACACCATATTGGCAACACACCCACTCAATGAATATATCCATTCTTAACTAGCCACTCATACATACATTAAACTAGGACCTCCCAATCCAGAGCATCGTCTGGCCTATAGTGTAAATAGATCATCCCTTTGTAGCCGTTTACTTAACACAAAAGCTGAGTAGCTGTGTGTGTGTGTATGTATGTATGTGTGTGTGTGTGTGTGTGTATGTGTGTGTGTGTATATATATATATATATAAATAAATAAAATGACCCATCCATTTTCGGTTCAGGTCTGAGAGCTAAGGCATAGACCTGTTTATAATTCATTTGTGGATTTTGAGTCAATTTTCTAACACTGGAATGATGTGGGTGTCCTCTAATGTTATAATGAAACTCTGCTTTGGTCTTTTGTAGCATCCACACTCTGAGAGATAATGTATCTCAGGAGCACCAGTCCCTGAAAGAACATGAGCTGCACTCTGGACCACAAGCTTCTCATGGTTATGGTGGGAAGTTTGGGGTGGAGAAGGACCGTATGGACAAAGTGAGTGGTAAAACTGATGGCAGATCATAGGCAGTCTGTAAGAAACAACAGAACAGGATATGTTACAATATAGTCTCTATATAAACACATATTGCAGAGTAGCTGTACTGACATGGATCGGTTAGAATGTAGAGTAACTGTACTGACCCTCCATGGATCGGTTAGAATGTAGAGTAACTGTACTGACCCTCCATGGATCGGTTAGAATGTAGAGTAACTGTACTGACCCTCCATGGATCGGTTAGAATGTAGAGTAAATGTACTGACCCTCCATGGATCGGTTAGAATGTAGAGTAACTGTACTGACCCTCCATGGATCGGTTAGAATGTAGAGTAACAGTGACCCTCCATGGATCGGTTAGAATGTAGAGTAACCCTCCATGGATCGGTTAGAATGTAGAGTAACAGTACTGACCCTCCATGGATCGGTTAGAATGTAGAGTAACAGTACTGACCCTCCATGGATCGGTTAGAATGTAGAGTAACAGTACTGACCCTCCATGGATCGGTTAAAATGTAGAGTAACAGTATTGACCCTCCATGGATAGGTTAGAATGTAGAGTAACAGTATTGACCCTCCATGGATCGGTTAGAATGTAGAGTAACTGTACTGACCCTCCATGGATCGGTTAGAATGTAGAGTAACTGTACTGACCCTCCATGGATCGGTTAGAATGTAGAGTAACTGTACTGACCCTCCATGGATCGGTTAGAATGTAGAGTAACTGTACTGACCCTCCATGGATCGGTTAGAATGTAGAGTAACTGTACTGACCCTCCATGGATCGGTTAGAATGTAGAGTAACTGTACTGACCCTCCATGGATCGGTTAGAATGTAGAGTAACTGTACTGACCCTCCATGGATCGGTTAGAATGTAGAGTAACTGTACTGACCCTCCATGGATCGGTTAGAATGTAGAGTAACTGTACTGACCCTCCATGGATCGGTTAGAATGTAGAGTAACTGTACTGACCCTCCATGGATCGGTTAGAATGTAGAGTAACTGTACTGACCCTCCATGGATCGGTTAGAATGTAGAGTAACAGTATTGACCCTCCATGGATCGGTTAGAATGTAGAGTAACTGTACTGACCCTCCATGGATCGGTTAGAATGTAGAGTAACTGTACTGACCCTCCATGGATCGGTTAGAATGTAGAGTAACTGTACTGACCCTCCATGGATCGGTTAGAATGTAGAGTAACAGTATTGACCCTCCATGATCGGTTAGAATGTAGAGTAACAGTACTGATCCTGCATACAGTTTATTGTACATCTAATTACATATAGTTTCCCCCCGCTTCCTCCTCCATTCTTTATTAATATAATGATAATGTTTTTGTCTATCTCCCTCTATAAAGTGTTACCAACCTGTTTGGGAATACATGGTTAATTCTCATTCGTTTTGAGGGTTGATCTCTATTCGGGACAGTAGATCAAACTTGCTGGGGAAGCTAATTGAGGATCAGGTTAATAGGCTGCGCTGAGTACCGAGCGGCTCGTCTTATCAGTGCTTGCTTTGCTGCTGTGTGACTGGCAGATTGTAGGGGCCGGGAGAGTCTGCTGACATCAAGCCAGGAAACAGACATCGATTTGAGAAGGCTGCTTCAAAGGGCCATTGAAAAACCTGGCAGCTGATTCATAGCTTAATGGGCTGCATGCGGAGCCAGTTTATCATTCAGCTGCATGCGCTTTGCTCTGTGTGTTTGTGTTAAGGAAACAGGAAGGGGTGGGGGATTTTCTCCTATTCCAGGGCTTGTCTGGCAAGTGAAACTGACTGTCCCTCTGACACTTTCCTGATGTGACTTATTAGCAGGAATCCAAGTTTGGACATTCAGAAGTGGGGATTCTGTGTACACCTGTTTATTTCAGGGCTCTCTGTAAAGCAGTCATGGCTAACCTTAGTACTGCAGATGTTTCAACTACATTTTCCATGATACTTAGCTTGCCTATCCAAGCAGGTGAGCGTTCTGGGATAATTTAACATCTGACTAACGTTGGCCATTACTAACTCTGTATCCAGCACTGGTACAGCTAAAAGTAGTTTCCTTTATAAGGAACTTTGCTAGGTTGTCTGCTGTTCCTACTGATCGTTAAAAATGTATGGTTGATACATCTTCTTCTAACTGCCTCTGTGCTGGACAGATTTAAAGAGAACACTGATAATGGATGCCAGTCAGCCTGGTATCACAAATAACTTAAAAAAGGTATTTTGTTTTACTCCAATCCCCAGTCTGCAGTTGGCCATGAATATCAGTCCAAACTATCCCAGCATTGCTCACAGTCGGATGCGGTGAAGGGCTTTGGTGGGAAATTCGGGGTTCAAACAGATCGAGTGGATCAGGTGAGGATTCTCCTATATTTAGAACATGGTTGAGTTATGTGGGAGCCTTCACATGTGTTTACAAGTTAATGACTTGCCCACATCATAAAAGTACAGAGGAGAGAGCGCTAGCCCTGGGGCATCAGACCAGGGAAGGGGGATATACATAGATCCACTCACTGATGCATCAGGTGGCTTGGCATGTGTTGCTGTCATCACTCACTGCTCAATCGGTTGCACCAGCTTTTGCATAATGTTCCCTCTAAGCACATTTTCTGACAGGTCCACCTCTGGTCCCCGCGTGCGATATCACAACTATGATTTGTAATGCTCGCGTTACAATTTAATAAAGGGGGAAAAGTGAGTGATCTGTGTGATGAGGAAACTGGTAAGTTCACACCTCTCAATCCTTAGTGATTCTGCACATAGCAAGCATTAAAGACAATAATTATTTCTCGTTAGTACATATCTCCACAGTGTGTTAAGGCTATATTTGTTACTGGCCGCTAGATAGTTTGCAGTCTTCTGTTTCCTGTGCAAAACAGAACAGTTATCACAAAAGAGCCCCCCCCCCAAAAAATAAAGAAATGTGGTTTCCATCCTCTAAATGGCCTCGTACCTCTCAATGTATGGGAGAGGATTAAATGTCAGAGTAGGGATTTAGAGACTAAAGAGTTTCTTAAATAGACTTTGCCTCAACATAAACTCTAAATCTTAATGAAAATACCCCAATACTCTCTGTGTGCCACAGCTCATCCTGCTTTGTGATGGTAACTGAGCATTGGGATCCTTGTTTGTTGTAACCAGTAGACCTTTTTTTAATATGCGATCTATCCCTTTATTGCAGTCTGCAATGACCTTTGATTACCAAGGGAAGACCGAAAAGCATGCATCCCAGAAAGGTAAGACCGTTTGTAGCACCTCCTGGTGGTATTTTAAAAACACTTTTTATTTTTTGCTGGGTATGATATCAGCCTTGATTTAATATTGTTGGATTAGCTTTTCAAATTGTTTAATATTTTGAAAAAAATGTGTGTTTATATATGTTATATATATGTGTATTTTATTTTGTACCGATATATATATATATATATATATATATATAAAAAAATAATTAGAAAAGCTTGTCCAAAGATATTAATTGAGACGTCAATCGGCCCCAAAATGTGCTTGCTTCATACTCCATTGCGCGTTCAATGTATACCTTAATCACTTTCTTAATATGTTTATACACTCTAATTCTATTGAATCCACATAGGCAAACACTATGCTTGCGTGGGACTTCGATAAACTAGTATACAATGTATGTCTACATATAGATATATATTCCGAGTCAGAACCTGTAAGATCCCCTAAATTGTTCTCTTTTGAACAGAGTACTCCTCAACCTATTGTTCCTGTAACATTTTGTAATTGTCGCATTTATTTTTAAATTTCCACCTTTATAATATTTTAATAGCGATATGGACTATGTTGGCGCTATACAAATGCCAATGATATCTGTAGATATCAAGCTTCAATAACTGCGGATGGCTGCGGGGGGTACTGAATTTTATATACAAGCAATATAAACAAAAATCTATCTGCTCACTGTATGAAAATTAGGTAAACACTGCCTGGTCAAGACCTTCTCTAGTGTGTATTTAAAACCTTATTCACTGGCCTGGCTTGCCTTGGGACAAACATCTAATATGAAAAGATTTCTAATGAGACCCGCACACCATTAGACTCTAAAACCCACCGCGCATTGGATATTGTATTCACATTGCAGTATCAAGGCTGTGAAATACAAATTCAATAAAAAGACATTAGACGTTCATCTTCCTTGGGCAGCAGCTTAGACTACTTTATTCAACCACAATGCACAAGGAAAATAAGCCAAAGGATTTCCTGTGAAATCATTAAAATCTGTTTTCCTTTCAGATTATGCCAGTGGATTTGGTGGAAAATATGGGGTGCAGGCTGACCGTGTAGACAAAAGCGCCGTTGGTTTTGACTACAAGGGCAAGACGGAGAAACATGAATCTCAGAAAGGTTTGTGTCAGGGTATTGGGGTACTGAGAGAGTCAGGGGAGAGATTGCTTATTTCCAGGGGTTTAATATAGCGTAAAGCACTGTAACAAAGAGATGTATTAATTTACTATTTACTGAAAGCTAGTATGATTATTAAAGAGGGCAAAGGATCAATACTGGGGATCGACCGATTATCGGTTTGGCAGATATATTCCGAATTTTCTGCAATATCGGTATCTGCCCTTTAAAGATATCGATATTGCCCATAATGCAGACCAGGACCACCGGGCCCATGACAACCAAGACGGTTGTCATGGGCCCGGCAGTCCTGGAGGGCCCGCAGCAAGCTCTTACTTGCCTTCCCGGAAGCTCCCCAGTCTAAATCTTGCGAGAGTTAGACAGGGGAGCTGAAGGGAGCTGCTGGGAATGTAAGGGAGCGCTTACTGTGGTCCCTCCACTGCACAGTCCTTGCCACTGGACCACCAGGGAATGCCATATCCATCCTTCCTGGCCAGGTAACAAGCAGAGAGGGGGGACTAAAACAAAAGGTTTAAAAATTAAACCCCCCCCATTTTACACACGTTACATACCTACACAAACACACACTCTGCATTCATTATATACACACACTACACAAACACACTGCATTCACTTTACGCACACTACATATACATACTACATAAACACACACTGCATCCACTACACACACACACATTCTTGAAAACATAACTTCTGACTGGAATGTATATTTTGTGCATTTACCTTAATTAAAAAAAAAAAATTGCAAAAAAAATAATAAAACATGTTCAGTTAATAGTAGATTTGTGTAGAAATAGTTTTATTTTTTCAAAACGGTAAATGTACAGGGTATCGATAAGTTATCTACTATCGGCCTGAAAGTTCCGAGATTATCGGTATCGGCTTTAAAAAAAATCAATATCGGTCGATCCCTAATCAATACATTCTAATTAATTGAGAGATACTTTGTACCCTGATCGATCCCCTGTGACTCAGGAAACCTCTTTCAATATATGTAATTACATATGAATGGTTTGGCTGAGTTGCAATACAGTGAGGGAGTTATTGCTTTTACATTAGCTAGCATTATGGGCATTGATAGCATAGGGATTATTTTCTGATCTGCAATACAATTCTCCGTAGCTATTTTTATTTTCCCACATATAGTAATTTGTTACTGGAACGTTATTTCTGTGATTAGATCTTTGATTTTGACGGATTTGCCTGATATCCTTAAATGTATTCATTTTTAGAGCTGTTTGAATGCATCTATATATTTATATTGTGTATATTCTCACGTAAAATTATTGTATATTTTTAAATATATCACAATTTTTTTTAATAAAATATCACTTTCTCAGATGTAATCTGGCCAGTCTTGTGCTTGTTTCCCAGATTATACTACTGGATTTGGGGGAAAGTTTGGCGTGCAGGCAGATCGTGTGGACAAGAGTGCCGTTGGATTTGACTATCAGGGAAAGACTGAGAAACACGAATCACAGATAGGTCAGTATCAGCTTGTCGGAACTTTCCAAACAAGATCATCTGCCTACATTGACACAGTGTGCATGGCGAGATCCGTATTATTGTACCCTTCACTAATAATGGCACTCTTGGTAAATATGAGCAAAGAAGGCTGAGAAACATGGTCTTTGTTGTTTAAACCTTTTGCTCTTTGTTCGAATAATACAAAAAAATACTCTGCTCTCATTGATATCAAACAACTGGAAACACAACACAGGTTTATTAAGAAAAGAAAAAAAATAGAAACATAGAATGTGACGGCAGATAAGAACCATTCGGCCCATCTAGTCTGCCCAATTTTCTAAATAAGATATAAATGTATGTATGTGTGGCACAATTATTGGCACCCTTTTAGTCAATATTTTGTACTACATCCCTTTGCAAAGACAAGAGCTCTGTGTCTTCTCCTGTAATGTTTGATGGATTGGAGAATACATGGCAAGGGACCGGAGACCATTCCTCCATACAGAATCTCTCCAGATCATTCAAATTTCAAGGTGGTCGCTGGTGGACTCTCCTTTTCAGTTGACCCCACAGGTATGCTACGGGGTTTAAGTCAGACATGGCCGGGGTAGGAACTAGATTTTGCGGTCAATAAACCATTTTTGCGTTCATTGTTTTGGATCGTTATCTTGCTGGAAGATCTAACCACTGCCCATTTTAAGCTTTCTGGCAGAGGCAGTCACGTGTTCATTTAATATCTGTTGATATTTGACAGAGTCCATGATGCCAAATAACCTAAGAAAATGTCTAGGTCCTATGGCAGAAAAACAGCCCCACCTCCAAATGAAACTTTGGGCATGAAGTATTTATCCATATGGCTACCTCTCTGTGCTTGATTTTAGGTTTAATCTGATCATAGAACCCAGTCCCATTTGAAGTTCCAGTAGTGTCTAGGAAACTGAAGACCCTTGAGTTTTTGATGAGTAGAGTTCTTTTCTTGAAACCCATCCTAACATCTTGTGATGATGTAGTTGATGTTGGATTGTAGTTTTGGAAACTTTTTGACCCGGAGATGCTTCTGCAGTTCTCCAGCTGTGATCCTTGGAGATTTTTTGGCCACTTGAACCATCCTCTTCACAGTGCGTTGAAACAATATAGACACAAATTGTCTTTCAGGTTGATTCATGGCATTTTCGAATGACTAGAACTCCTTAATTATTTCCCTGAGTGTGGAAACTGGCATTTTCAATGCTTTTGCTATTTTTTTTACAGACCCTTTCCATTTTGTGAAGCTCAACAACCATTTTTTTTTTTTTTTTTTCAACACCACATTTTCACAGCCTTCTTAGCACATATTCATCAAGGGTGCCAATAGTAGTGGAGGGAACTGTAAATCTGAACTTTGTATGATCACATAAAAAGTGTGCTCAGACCTTGCAAATGGTTATTCTATGACTTTGAGGATCATACATTCCGTTAGACGCTCACCCAGTCTTCACTGCTTCAAAAAAATCATTAAAAACTCACTTTTTCACAAGAGCATATCAATGAAACTGTTAATGGCTCCAAAAAAACGAACATTAAGTCATTGGATACTATTCTACCAATCTACTACCCTAATACTTCCCTTACCTTTTATGTCACTATACCCCACTTCCTCTAGCATGTAAGCTCATTGAGCAGAACCCTCAACCCCTCTGTTCCTGTGCATCAATCTTGACTGGATACAACTACATGTCTGTTCGTCCACCCATTGTAAACTATATTTTTTGCTTTATTGTACCATGCAGAAAATGTTCGCAGGAAATTGTTTTGACCACTGTTTACCTTTCATATTTGACTTTTTATTTATTATTTGTATTATACTTATTATTAGTAGTATTATTATTATTATTGTTGTTGTTGTTGTTTTTAGTTATTTTGTATAATGGCTTTCTTTTTTAGATTATTCCAAAGGCTTTGGCGGTAAATACGGTGTTGACAAAGACAACGTGGACAAGAGTGCTGTTGGGTATGAGTACCAGGCCAAGCCGGAGAAACATGAATCCCAGAAAGGTGTCCTGACTTTTATCTTTTCTAAACCCTGCTTTCTGTAATGCCAGTTAATCACAGAGCGATACTGTGCTGACGATATGGTAAACAAGTAAGGACGTCCAGACAGACTAAAGGTTGTTCTTTCCAAGCAGAGCTCAGGGCGGAAACTAGAAACGTCCAAATAGGTTAGGGAATTAGTTTGGTTGGGAATTCCGCAGAATTTTTAAATGCTCATTTTTTTATTTTATTTTTGTTAGATTCCATATAACAATTTATTGTTAACATTTTAAAAACCTGTGTGATGTCACCAGAATAATTTTATTTATGTAGTGTGTGTTTGTGTGTGTGAACTCATTTCATACAATGCACGTATAGTTGTTTAGTGGAAGGAGCTAACACGTCTTGTTTCAGACCTAATGTCTGGGTAATTATAGAACTAATGATGGCAGCATTCATATACGCACATTTTCTTTCTTTTATGTGGGAATGTCCTGATCCAATGGTCAAGACTTAAACTAGCTTTATAAGCCCAATACAAACAGGCCGATGACACTTCCTTTCCATCTGATTCACACAAGGCAAGCCATAATACACCCGGCCACTAAGAACGACTATTGTGCTTTGAGTCAGCCGCCGATTCATTTTTAATTTAGTCTGCGCAGTTTGAGGCTTGCTGCTAGTTACCAGGACAAATATGGCTTTGCTAATAGTCATTGCCACATGGTCAATCAACTTGCCTGAATTCAGGTTGAGCTTTAAATCTTAAGGTCACATGACATTGGGGTATGATATACCGTTTTAGCACCAACACTTTAATTTTGGGCAACAATTGCCGTGTGATTGTCAAAAATGTGCCCCTTCATCATTTTGACTTTAGTCTGCCCACATCAAATGCTGCCAACATTAGCTCTATGTAAGGTCTGCAGCTCTGGATCTTGCTTATAGGGTAAAGGTATTCTAATATGTTCATTTGTTGCATGTTGTGCAGGTTGGGGTTAAAGTAATTGCTGTTAACATGCATGTTTAGAACATACATGTGAGTTCCCTTTTCCTGGGTGTTTCACCTCTATATACTGTGACCTTATGGATGTTTATCATTAAACGGAGTTAACACTCTCTGCTGCTGGGAAGTGCTGCAAACCTTATCAAGACCTTCCTGGCAGTGAGACCGTTAACACGGTATTAAACCATTTAAAACCATTACCCGATGACAAACAGCTCTTCTGCCGGGTACGTTCAATGTGCTGTTTCATCATGGCCGTTTCTTGTTTAATGGCTCGTGGATTTCTGTGTGTAGACTATGTGAAAGGGTTTGGAGGAAAGTTTGGTGTACAGACAGACAGACAAGACAAGTGTGCGCTTGGCTGGGATCATCAAGAGAAACTGCAACTACATGAGTCCCAAAAAGGTACCTCCTACTGCGATGAACATTCTCTGTGTCACATGGTAATCTAGTGGTCTGTCTTTTCCTTTCTAACATTCTGTAACTGATACATTACTGGCTAATTCTTTCACCACTCTGGGAATCTCTGCATCCTATCCTGTGGGTTTTCATACTAACATTTACAAAAAATAACGTATACTACTGGGATTGCCAGGAACATTGTGGGGATTTATATTGGTAGAACACTACTGGATTACACCTTCATTATGCCCAAACTGGTCAAGCAGGGCTTGGTTTGCAAATTAATTCTGATTGCAGGGAAGGACAATGACACTTCATGTCAAATCTCATTCAATGGACTTTAAAAATAAATACAATTCAGGGTCATTTAATCTTAATTTGCATTTTTATCAGTGTTTAATAATTACCTCTGAAGGAGGAATACATCCCACTAGAATAGGGCAATAACTCAACTGATTTCAATAAACACCTGAGATGGAATATAAGAAAATGATGCTTTGCAGAAATGGTAGTAGATACCTTAAATAGTCTTCCAGTGGAAATGGTAAAGCTAAGGTCGTAAATGAATTGGGGAATACTTTGGAGCTTCATAAGATTATCCTGGAGACGAAATCAGAATAACGGGTAGATTTTATGCCCAATCATCTTTTAGAAAATAAGCCTGCACATTCATTTAACTCTGGTTTATCACTGGGCTGATATGCAAAGTTCTCCATGGTTGAGAAACGCATATTGAAGGGCCTTTTAAAAAAGAGTTTGACTCTGTGTTACAGTGAACCTGTCATTAATGTTGTGGTAGGTTCACACTTAGGTAGTTATAATCTATGCACTCTCTTTGCAAAGTCGCCTGCAAGGGTATAGTTTCAAATATGTACTTACCTTAAACGATTTCTACCGCGTACAGCGTGGCAGTCTGTATGTGACGCTCATATTGCAAATTGCACCTTCCAGTTCCTAGTTGGCAGATGCATATAGAGAACTGCGACGTGACCATCAATCAGATCCTCAGGAAGCCGTTCATGGCATCCATGGAATGCAGTCTTTACTGCCATGCCTGCGGTCAGAACCTATACAATTAAGCATGTCTTTGTCTTTACATTGTGCTAGCAGTTTTGCCGGTATAATGTTTTGATGAAATATATATGCTCTTTGAAGTCACACCACGTCACCCCGGGCATGACCGGTACACTGTGATCTCCTATTTGTAGAAAGCGCATCGGCCTTTGTAAATTGTTGGGGTCTCTGACCCACGTTCCAGCAATCTCATGCAGGAAACGTATCGCTGCACTGAAGATGGATTCCTAAATTGTGTGTAATGAGAAGTTTCCAGCCCCAGTAAATCAGCCGACAAAGGTCACAGCGATGCCTCCCGGACTTATTACCCAGGTTATTGCATGGCTAATTTGATAGATGTGCAGCTAATGACTTGTTCTGATGTGTGAAGCGGGCTTTGGGGTAAGCGATGCAGCAGATCATTAGTTACTATATCCCTGTCCCTTGAACTGGTCACGCAATCAGCACTTTTATACATCTTTAAATAAATGTATAATGACCTAAAACTGCAGACCTGGGATGATTTTAATCCTGTGATTACCCTAGAACACGGAGGCGGCCAATTTATTGTACAACCCTCTGGCACCCAAATGGTTAATGCAATATCTTAAAATCAGCCACTTTTTACATTAAAAGATGTTCAATCTTTATAATTCCTTACCGATGTTTCACACATTGTTAAATCAACGGCCTGATAACACATCGATACATTTCTTAATTGTATGGTCAGAAAATAAGACAAATGTTCCATTTTGCACTTCTTAAACCTGTGGTCACTGATAAACCATTGTGTAAATAGGTTTATTTTGTTTGTCTAAAGATGTCCATCATCTCTTGGGAATTTAAGGACCATAACATGGGAACAAGCTTGGACCTTGATTTGATATTGTTAGATACTCTTTTCAAATTTGTAATATTTTTTTTTATATGATTCTCGCATACAAGACCTTAGTTGGTTAATGATCCAATGGTATTTGATACTCAGGTACAGATCGATTTTCAAGAAGGTTGTCTCAGCCTTTCATCTGTGTAGGTCCATAAGTTGATGTACTAAATCTTTATCCCTAGATCACTCTGACCAGTGGTATGCAGTATCACCTCAACTTAACCCTTCGTTAATTCTCCACATTTCCAGCTTCAGAGTAATTTTATTGGTACAGCTGTCTGTTTTCCCCCAGCTAAAGAGAGAGTCCCAGCCCCAGCTCTCCGCGCCCAAGACAATTACATGCCCCCTATATTGACTCTTCATTTCCCAGTTTGAGTCCCCTTTTGTGTCAGGGCTTGTATACAAGTCACACGTAAATAGGATTTCAGTTCCATAGTACAGTGTATTAAACTTCTCTGCATATAAATAAAATGATGGCAGCAAAATGTAGAACACATTTTGTCACCACTATTACCTCTTTAACCCCTCAAGGACACATGACATGTCATGTTTCCCTCTTATTCCAGAATTTTTGGTCCTTAAGGGGTTAAAGGACCACTAAAGTCACACAGGCCATTTAATCTCAATGCAGGGGTTAGTCCTTTTAACCCTGCGATATACACATTACATACATTTCAGGGAAGACCCCCATAAAAAGCATTGATTAAATACTTTCCTATGGGGAGGCATGGATGTGTGTGTGCTGTATGAGAAGCATTGGATTGGACCACACCGGAGAAGCCATGCCTCCTCCATAATGTTGTGGGAGGCGGAGAGGTAAAAAGCTCCAAAAGGGCTTTGGCTCTGGAATACTTTTTCTTTTTCTTAATTTTTAACTGCATTCAGGGTAACCTGAACATACATAGGGACAGGGACTCTCTATAGTGTTTGGAAAACAGGGGGTGAGGGGATCGCAGCACTTCAGTAATCCTTGATAAAGATATATGTGGAGAGAACCAGAGAAGAAATAATAGTATTTTTTTAAACTGTAGTTGTGATAGGTAAGATAAAAGATGTGCACTCACACTTTTCTGGAGCTTCAATACAGCTCCAGTGTATGCGCCTGAGCGGAGTAATCCCCATATGGATCAAGTGCAGAGGTAATTCTTCGAATTATAGGTGTAGTAGAGGGTATCCTCGTAAAAAAATAAAAATCAAATATGGTGAAGTATGTAGAGCTATGGAGCAAGGGTAGGTAAAAACTATAAAATGTACACTCATTTGTAAAGGAAAACCTGGCTCCTCTGATGATGCTTGAAGTGGCATGATCCCCACTCAAGGATAGAGGTGTAAATATAAATTCTTCAGTCTGTGTATATGAGAACTTGGTAACCCATTACGTCTTCCTACAAACCGATACTTGTGTGCTTTATACCATTTCTTCCAGAAGGCTATATCTGGTCTCTACTACCTTTTTGTAAATCAGTAAAATGCTACAGAAAGAGTATGGATTTAAGGTGTTGCGGTTTCCTTGAACACCTTGTATCATTTAATACATTGAAATTATGAAATATTTTATCTTACTATAAATTGGTGGTAATACAGTAAATAACACATTTATCAATGATTTCTTTCAGATTATTCTAAGGGGTTTGGTGGAAAGTATGGTGTACAGAAAGATCGGATGGACAAGGTACCTGAGCGTGATCTAAATTAATTCCAGCATGTCAATCACTGACCAATACTCAGAGGTTTAGTTTTAAACTGTACCTTTTATTATACAATGTTTGGTGTATCTGTAACGAGGTTAGTTATTTTATGATGGTTTTAATCCCTCTTAAATATAGTAAAAACTTGCCTTTTTTCCAAGACCGTGCCCCAGGGTTAGCTCCACCTCCAATCCACCTCCTTGGCTGAGATCCTCAGGATTGATCATCTCGTCCAATCACAATGGACCCATAGGAAAGCATTGGATTGACTAAGATCGTCAATTATGATGATCTATGCTAAGGAGGCGGGACAGGGCAGAGCCAAAGGCAGCCCTAATCAATCAGCATCTCCTCATAGAGATGCATTGAATCAATGCATCTCTGAGGAAAGGTTAGCACCTCCATGCGGAGCGCAGCACTGACCCAGGAAGCACCTCTAGTTGCTGTCTGAGTGACTGTCACTGGAGGTGTCTCTAGTTAGTAAAGTAAGCACATTTCTCTGAAAAAGCAGTGTTTACATTAAAATGCCTGCAGGGACTGACAATATTCACCAGAACAACTACATTAAGCTGTAGTTGATGTGGTGACCATAGTGTCCCTTTATATATACTCCTCCTACACAAAGTGGTCACCCTATAATGTTTAGTAAGTGTTCCAGTTGCCTCTCAGTGCGTTCATTTCAGAATGCCACACATAAAGGCACTTATTGTAGCTGCCTCATTTGTTGTTTTAAACTCTATTTATATGTGAAGTGATAAAATCCGTTTTTCATTACTAATCTTTACATTTGCTGGATATTTTACAATGTACATATTCAATCTTATATCTTCTTGGCTGTGCCTTTTGGCATTGCGGAATTGAGTGAATATCAATGTGAGATCAAAGTCTGATTTTCCATTTATAACTCCCTAAACATGGAAGAACCTTTTGTGTCTTGAAAATTCTCTTACAAACTTTTACTTTGAGCTGTGTAGAGTTGACACCCAGGTGATTTAACACTGATTTTAATGGCCCCAAATTCAGTGCATTGCACCCTCAAAGTTAACATGTATTCTGGTTGCATTCGGAGACCCGCAGTCACTCTGTGTCTGATTTACAGGCCGCAGCATCATTTGAAGATGTTGAGAAAGTTGCTCCAGCCTATCAAAGGACACGGCCAGTGGAAGTCGGTAGGTAATTCCTCGGAGTCATTGGGAATTCCTGCTTTTATTAATTGGCTAAGTAGACAGGATTCAAGCATCTAAAATTGATGGAAATAAGAAAAGTGGGGACCTCGTGTCGGGGCACATCTAACACTTATTTACTGATATTTGGCTTAAAAGATGCACATTTCTAGTTGCAATCACTGTGGGTGCCTTTCTGCTCCGGTGTTGCGGTATGTATGATGTCACAGATTGTAATTTGTATGAGAACAGGCCATGTTTGCCGCTCACTCTTTTTTGGTGGGATGTCTGAACACATCGACATTTTCTTTTTCCTTGCACATTCCAACACAGTTTGCTGTTTCACACACAGAGGGGAATAAAGCCAGTAGCATCCGAGCAAACTTCGAGAACCTGGCAAAGGACAAAGAGCAGGAAGACCGCAAGAAAGCAGAAGCAGAGAGAGCACAGAGGATGGAACGAGAACGGCAAGAACAGGAACAGGCAAGGAAGAATTTGGAGGTCAGTGCACCTTGGATGGTTCTTACCAAATTACACCTGGAGAAATTTTTAAGAAAATGAATACATTTAGAGCAATCGCCACGGGAATGGAAACAGTACTACTTCCCAGCTGCACCAGTTCTCCCATGATAAACATAGTGTGGGTTTGTGCTAGATCTCTCTCTCCTGGCAGCAGCACTTAATGACAGACCTTTGCCCCACCAACAAGAAGATAAAAGACCTACAGTGCTAATATCAGTGTATTTATTTAAAAATAAAAAATGTTTAAAAAAAAATAAAAACATGTATCTGTTTTTATATATTTTAAGGAACAAGAGAAAGCTAAGCCTGTGACTCCTGCATCTCCTCCAAGACCTCGCCATGTGGTAGAAGAGCCCCCGGAAAGCCCTGTGTATGAGGTTCGTATTGAATCAAAGGAAAGGGCCCTGCGTTCTGCGTGCTCTAATGGCCTTATTGAAACGTACCGAGTGAAAATAGTACTTCCTATAACTAATAATTATTCACATTACATGGCAGACTTATTACAGTTTGTTATAGTGAATTTTTGCACAATCTTGATAACGATCTGTAAAAGTTTGCTCTTTTTTATTATTACTATTTTTTTTACATTACATTTTTGTTTCCTGTCTCACTACACACTCCAATAAAAATGCCAGTTACACAGAAACATAGAATGTGACGACAGATAAGAACCATTCGGCCCATCTAGTCTGCCCAATTTTCTAAATACTTTCATTAGTCTCTAGCCTTATCTTATAGTTAGGATAGCCTTATGCCTATTCCACGCATGCTTAAACTCCTTTACTGTGTTAACCTCTACCACTTCAGCTGGAAGGCTATTCCATGCATCCACTACCCTCTCAGTAAAGTAATACTTCCTGATATTATTTTTAAACCTTTGTCCCTCTAATTTAAGACTATGTCCTCTTGTTGTGGTAGTTTTTCTTCTTTTAAATATAGTCTCCTCCTTTACTGTGTTGATTCCCTTTATATATTTAAATGTTTCTATCATATCCCCCCTGTCTCGTCTTTCCTCCAAGCTATACATGTTAAGATCCTTTAACCTTTCCTGGTAAGTTTTATCCCGCAATCCATGAACCAGTTTAGTAGCCCTTCTCTGAACCCTCTCTAAGGTATCAATATCCTTCTGAAGATACGGTCTCCAGTACTGTGTACAATACTCCAAGTGAGGTCTCACCAGTGTTCTGTACAATGGCATGAGCACTTCCCTCTTTCTACTGCTAATACCTCTCCCTATACAACCAAGCATTCTGCTAGCATTTCCTGCTGCTCTATTACATTGTCTGCCTACCTTTAAGTCATCAGAAATAATCACCCCTAAATCCCTTTCCTCATATGTTGAGGTTAGGACTCTATCAAATATTCTGTACTCTGCCCTTGGGTTTTTACGTCCAAGATGCATTATCTTGCACTTATCCACATTAAATGTCAGTTGCCACAATTCTGACCATTTTTCTAGTATGTGCAAAAAACTAGACTGTATATGCTATACAGAAATAGGGCGCCACTTATCACCAAATATAAATACTGGATATAGTTACCCTCCAGCGAGCAAATGAGGATATTCACATAAAAAATATAAAAAGAGAAAACATCATAGTGCAAACTTTTAATTCAAAGTGATAAAAAATATATAAATAAAAACACTCACAAACAGTGTGGCACAATTGACAAAATCAATATGTGCTAAAGTGCTGATGCCTATAATAGGCTAAATCTCCCGGTCTTAGCAGTCTGTGGACGTCTGTATAGAAGCTGTAGCAAGGACAGATAGAACAGTTCACCATCAGCTGATCCAATTCCCCGGGTTTGCTCAACGCGTTTCGTCTGTTCTTAATCAGACTTCCTCAGGAGCGATCCATAGTCTTCTCTATCCGGCATTTAAATATGCCGGGTGGCGTCCTTTCTGTGCAATTGCGCATGCGCGCGGGCACCGGCGTGATGACATACCATTCGCCGGCGTCCGGCGCGCATGTGCGTTCCACCGTGGAACGCAGGCAAAAAAACTTTATTAATCTAAGCAACACTGACAACACTGGAACTAATGGAAAAACGAAACCAGTGTGTTCCGATGCTATTATATGTTAGATGCACATATAGAGAAGATTCTAATGGAACATATAATGTGAATATATATAAAATAAATATATATAAAATGAATATAGATACAATTTAGAGAGAAGAAAAAGAAACAAGAAAAAAGAAATGTGTGTGTGTGTATATATATATATATATATATGTGTGCATATATGCATGTAGTGGTAATATGTGAATCCAACATATTACATTAAATCAAGATCATTTCAATTCACATATATATAACAGTATTAATGGTAATATATAAATATTTGAAACTAACGTAGTTTAGACAGGACATTATTTTAAACAGGGCATAATTTCAAACAGGACATAGTTTTGAACAGGACCTAATTTTACAAGGGCATGATTATAAAAATACATAATTATAAGAACATCATTATAAAATTACATAATTCTAAACAGTTCTAAATTAATATGACTCTCTAAAGCAACAAATATCTATTGAAAATATTAGAATTTTAAAAAAGACTTTAATTTAAAAATGCTAACAAGTATTCAAATAACTCAATTAAGGACGGATATAAAATAGAAGGAAAGGAACAAAAGAGAGGGGAAACAAAGTTAGTAATTTTTCAATCAATCATATAATCAGTTATTCGATTTTATACTGATATACAAATAAAATATAAAATATAAACCGATGTGACATTAAAATCAGTGTAAAATGTGTCATCTTGGTGGAATTAGTCCATAAACTAATTCAGTGTAAAATGTGTCATCTTGGTGGAATTAGTCCATAGTTTATGGACTAATTCCACCAAGATGAACATTTTACACTGATTTTAATGTCACATCGGTTTATATTTTATATTTGATATATAATTTTGTAAATTATATTAACTATACTTATTTGTAATGTTTCTAGACTGTACCGCTGTGCTGCCTCCATAGCTGTAAGGACTGTATATACGGAGAGCAGGTGTGACTGCCTCTATATGACATGTTTTCATTGCATGACTCCTACTGTGTGCCCGCAGGCTAGGAATTGTCATATGTCGTGTCACTTGGGGTGGGCAGGCTGCTAAAATTTGCTCAAAGTTTTCACTCACCCCTGGAATGTAACACATTTGTTTTGGCAAGCAGAAATTAACCCCTGTTGAGTGTGCCATGCACACTCCAGGCTTGCAGTGGCAAGTACTTTTAAGGAATGGCAAGTAGCGTAGGCTTGAAATTCTAAGCCCTGATCTAACCTGTAACTTTGCTAGGTGTCTTTAGCTCAATGTATGATTACACTAATGTGTACCTGAACGTGATCTTGCCGTACAATTTGTGGCTGACATCTTCACTTTAAGAAGCTTTGAGAATTAATATTTGCACTAATGGCAATAATGAGCAATGCAGACTGGGCCGTGCTGAGTAACTACATCGTGTTATTGGACTGTATTCCGAAGCAGAAGCTGGATGTGGGTAACAGAATGTTGCTACGGAATGTCTACTGCTTCTCTCTAGATCCAGTGAGATTGGTGGAATCCCATGTGAAAGGCTGCAGTGTGTAGTTTTCTTTTGTAACCATGCAACCAAGTGAAGTTTCTTTCCCCATCCTTTAGAGGGAGTATAGTTTACAGAAATCTGCAGATAACTAGTGACAGTAAGTGTTGGCTTGCTGTGATCAGATACTTGTTCTTTGTGCAGGATGCGACTCCAGTTTATGAAAAGAAGCCTGAAAGCCCTCCTCGGGCCTCCGAGCCCATGTACACGGAGGAGGCTACGTACCAGGATGCCATGAGCCAAGGAAAGGATGTTCATGATGCGGAGGCAGTGTATGAAACCACAGATGATTACCAGGATGGTAAGGGAAGCAATACTTTTTAAAACCTACAGCACGTGCAGAGCGCAGTGTTAGTAACTGATCTATGCATTTTCTCTTCTTATTGTAGTGGAAAATACTTATGCTGAGTATGAAGGAGATTTGGGGACTACAGCTATTGCCCTCTACGACTATCAAGCAGGTTGGTGTAATCAGGATTTGTGACTCTGTTCTTTTTTTTTTTTAAACTTGGAGGTGTGAAAGTGCACAGTCCGCACACAATTCTTTGACTTCTGTTGTACTGTCATTCAGTCAAAATATCCTGTCTTTCTCTCCCCTAGCTGGTGATGACGAGATCTCCTTTGACCCCGATGACATTATCACAAATATCGAAATGATCGATGATGGTTGGTGGAGAGGCCTCTGCAAGGAACGTTATGGGTTGTTCCCAGCGAATTACGTGGAACTTCGCCAGTAAAACCAGTTCTTTAGTCTAACTGCACTCTCTCATAGCAAAGAAGGCTTCAGCAGCCTGCCAGTCTGGCTAACACCATACCTTGTGGTTCTTTGCAGTGCCGGGACATGTGCCATCTTGTGCAGAGATGGCCATAACACTCTTTCTTTTGAGTTTTGCCGTAATCAACTGTGCTGGATTCTTACCTTACAAATCATGTTATCTTTATTTTGTTTGTTTTTTCTTTTTCGGAGTGGGAGCAGTATTTTTTCTTCTTTTTTATATTAAGAAATCTTATGTCAAGCTTTTACAGTGCAGTTTTTCCTGCCTTACGAGTACCTGAGTGATGTGGATCATGAATGCAATGCACATCCCTCTGGTCCTTTAACTGCTGGTGCTGGATGTGCCTCCTATGCATTGGTAATTGGGTTAAGGTTGAATATGTGCCTCATGCTGTTTGGGTGGCTTCACACCCCATGGCTCAGATTTTTAAGCTTTACAAACCCTGTGTGCAAGAATAGAGGCTACCTTTATTCCAGTCCTAAAGTTTACATTCAGTGCTTTTCGTCTGCAGCAAACTGGTCTTAACGTTTGTGTTCCTACGTGATTAACATGCTATCGTAGTCTGCTATAGTACACGCTACAAATATTACGTTCTGCTGGCTAAGTCATGCTTTCACTAGCTGAACTTAGTGTGTCCGCTCTGTCTATGGGGATTTGCAGGTATTGGCTTCCTTGGATTAGCACCTCTAAGTGAACAATACTGCAAATATTTAGGTATGTCATTCTGGAGGAGATTTCTGGGGCTTTCTGGGACTTTTTAATGAAAATAAATAAAATGTGGTAGACGGCGTGTGCTCATAATAGAATTCTTGTGAAAAAAATACATCATTTTACGTTAGTGCCATGCTTTTCCTCTGCTCCAACACAGTGAGAATTCTCTAATTTTACGGATGTTCAAACAGCTCCTTCACTTCGTATCTATCTTCTCGTCGATCCTTTCAGTGTTACCAAAAATGCCATAAAAACAAAATACACAGACTGCACTGCTTCCAAAACCTGATTCATCTGCTTTTAAAAATCTATTGAGTAGGAAAAAGGTCATTGCTAAGGGTCAAATACTGTTTTTAACATGAATTCTTATACATTTAGCATTTTTTTTTCCAGCGGTTCCGTTGCATTTATTAAATAGACATTGAGATTTTGCTACAATTCCTGAAAGATTAGCTCAGTCTATTCTTCACTACAAGCAGTCCAGGATTTTGCTATAATCCACCTCAATCGATATATTTTGGTCCAGGTAAATGACATCCCTCCTACTATATGGTTTATATATAAAAGTTCTGGACCATTTAATAGTCTGAAACCAGAAGGTGTAAGTGTGGCATACATTTCCCATGTTGCACCACACCTGTGAGTTATTATGGGTAATGTCTTTACATGCAATGTCCTGTTTTAGTTGTCATTGATGTAGAGCCTGCATCGCAAGCATTTGTCATTCCAGATATTATTTGAACTTGAAACCCCAATATCCTCAGCATTCTTTTTAACCAGGAAACGCCAACAAATAACTCTTCAGTTGCTGGACTCTGTGCTGTTCTTAGAATGACCTGAGCAGGATGTTGGGATTTTAGAAATGATCCGTTGACTGCGCCTTCTATACTGTATGGGTTTAGACGTTGCCTGCTCCTGGTGTAAAAGATGTGATGAGCCCCCGTAGCAGTGTAACACAAGCTGGGTGGGTTTTTATGCGGTTTCTTTGATCCGGGTTTTGCATACAGCATTTCATGGATGATCTATAGTTTTGTAAATGAAGCTTCAATAAAGGTTTTTTTGTTTTGTTCTTTTTTTCCCATCTAACTGTGATTGCATTTTTTTTTTTCTGATTCTATGCTGGGGCTGAAGGGGAAAATAAAAAAAGGTAAAACACAGCTCTTGTTTGGTAAACACCCGTGTAGGGTCTTAGCACGAAGGGATAAGACCTTCTCGGACAGTCCTAGTCCACACCTGCTGGTGAAAATGTAATGGAAAACAGGAATGCAGGGAAACTGGACGGTTGGGTCCTTCACGAACTCCTCTACCAGACAATGTCAATGTGTATGTGAACATGATGAGCTCTGTGTGTACATTAGGCATCAAATCACATCCCAGGATCCTAAAAGAGATGCACTTCTTACACTTACATAACTATTGATGCATTTGGAGCCTTTACTGAGGTTTTACGATGTACAGTTTTCTAGGAGACAAATCACTTGTAATATGCTGTTGCACAGTACGTATAAAGTGCTGCCCTGCTAACTGTTGAAATCCGTTAAAGTAACATTTTAGTTTCATATCCATTTCATCTCAATGAAATTATGGGGCCTGTAAGCCCTGGGTGTTATTGAAGTTTCCAGTGTTAAACTGTTTAGGAATGGTTTAAGACCAAAGTTCCAGACACCTGTCACACCACCACTCTACTAATAGGAAAGCATTGGGTGGCCAGTGATAGACTGAGATAGTCAGTTGATGCCATTACTGCTATTATCCCGGTGTTCATAACGGGCACCCAGAGACAGAAATTTTTTGACTCTGTAAAGTAGAGCGATGCTCTGGGACTCCAGGCCTCATGACAACTTCATTGAGAAGACTCTAATCCGTGCAGGATGCTTTTCTATCGATATCCTTCCTGCAATATAATTCAGGGCAGCACTCTTCATGTGGTACCATACCGTGTAAGTAATGTGTGTTCGGCAAAACCTAGTGGTTGTGTGGCAGGCTCTGTTCTCTACACAAGCTAAAGGGGTTACTCACTAAGATTAAATTGTAAGGAATTTTAAAAGTGGGATTGCAACATTCAAGATAGCTGAACTGTGACTGTAGCAGACTGAGTTTCTCAAACTCTCTAATTCTCCCTAGATTTTGCAATTCAGTTTTAATTTTATTACAATTAAATAATTAGTAAAACAAAAATACTCCTCCTTGACTTTAAGGATTAGTCTGCCCCTCAAAAACCAGAGCTTTTCTGATAGAGTGGAATTTTAATACTCACCTGGTGCAAGGGCTGAGTTTTTGGAGAAGTAATTGGACTCCAATGAGGTACAGGTGTTGTTGATGAGCTGCCCCTCCCATTGGAACAGGAGAGCTTGTCCTGTCACAGCCAAACCGAGGTAACTCCTATTTACTCTCACAGCAATCAATGGGTTCGATCTGCATGTACAGTAAAGACGACACGATTTGAAGGTAAGAATTAAGCTTTTATGGTCTCCTTATTGATTAGGACAAAGTATGTGTTTGAGTCTGTGCTTTAAGAGGTGGTAACTAGCTGCCCAAGTATTGACACTTTAGTAAGATGAGTGAAGTGGTAAAACTGAATAGGTTCATGGTGGCTTTTCCCAGGCTTTGATTATTATTAGCATTGATATAGCGCCAACAAATTCTGTAGCGTATTACAGCAATATTAATGGGAGAACAAATAAGACAAACATTACAGATTTTAACAGAAACAATAGACTGATGAGAGCCTTGTGCAAATGAGCTGACAATCTAGTTTATTGTGTGCATTTATAAAGTGAGACAACTATAACTACATTTCCAAGCGATGCCATAGATTTGCTCTTCCCATTTAAAAAATCCAAGTGATGTAACAAGCGATTTGTGTATATCACGAGGACACAAGTTGAATATGGTGGTGGTTTTACTTTTATTAAATAATGCGGAATTCGCACAGTTATGCTGCATATTTGAAGGTTTCCAGTACTCTGCCTGGTTACATAGGCTGAAAAGAGACATGTGTCCATCTAGCTCAGTCTTCCTCAATCTGTTTTTCTTTGTTTTGTTTTTTCTGTTGATCCAAAAGAAGGCAACAAAACCTAGTTTGAAGCACTTCACATTTTGCAACATACTAGGAAACAAAATTCCCTCTTGATCCCAGAATAGCAGTCAGGTTAATCCTTGGATCAAGTAGCTATTACCATACAGTTCAAAGATTATATAATTGAATATTCTGTTTTGAGTATTATTATTCCTGCTTTTGTAGAACTGCCACTCCCATAATGCTCAGCATACGGCTGGATGTACCTTTTGGTCGCTCCTGTTTTAAAGCCCAGTTCACTGAAACCTGCTACAGAACTTGTCATATGTTTGTGTCTGTATATGGAGGTTCCTGTATTCTAATTGTGGGGAGCATTTTCCATACATTTCCCATGGATTGTCCTGGGGGCGTTTTCATAAAGTTCCAAAAAGTTTGACTAACGTTACGTTTCTGCAGACATAACCATTCTCACCAGGAGTCTGGTTAACCCTTACAGGCTGGAGCCAGGGGTTTGGGTCCTGGACTCTCAGGGTTATTTAGTAAATTAAGAATTGTTGGTGATTCACAGTGAATTTCACACTTAAACCCAAAATAGCAGAACTGTATGAATTCTCAAAGTCCCAGCTCTGCGTCCAGATTGACTGTTTTGGCTTTAAATGTGAAATTCACTTTAAATCCCCAACATTTCTCACTTTAATCTTTCCTGTGTCAGTTCAATGCTACCGAAGGAGTTAAAAGTGGATTTTGAGGGAATATTTATGTTGTGAAGATAAAAGGACAAGCTTTTGGGAACAATAATCTTTTTATTTATTTATTTTATTGTAAAAGCGCTCCAAATATTTTAGAATTCTCAGTGCCCTAACCCCTACAGTAAGCTGTTGTAGTTATTGTTCTTGGAGTGTCTCTTTAATACAATGTGACTATATAGACTGTAAGCTCGTTTGAGCAGGGTCCTCTTCAACCTATTGTTCCTGTAAGTTGTCTTGTAATTGTCCTATTTATAGTTACATCCCCCCTCTCATATTGTAAAGCGCTATATAAATGGCAATAATAATATATTACATCTATCTGTCTGTACTTGAGACGTGTGTACATATACTTCTTGTGTGCTGGTCCCTGTTTCTGTATTTGATCGGAGGTTTGGGATATAGTCTAGAGCAGGGGTAGGCAACCTTTGGCACTCCAGATGTTATGGACTACATCCCCCATAATGCTGGCAAAGCATCATGGGAGGTATAGTCCTAAACATCTGCAGTGCCGAAGGTTGACTGTGCCTGGTCTAGAGAATCCTTGCTCCTATAAACTGAACTATCTCCAGTGAGTTATTGTACTGATTCTAGTATTGTGCTAATGTTTTGTTGCGGTTCGTTAGTTATCTGCATCTTTTAGTGCCGAACAATTGGAAATTAAACATACAAGTAATTGTAACAACTTGTTTGACGTGCAGGTGGTGACCAGGGCCCTACTCACACAAGCAAATACCAGTGTCATTATCTTGAAGATGTCGTTATTATTGCTGTTAACACATGCTAGGCTACATCACTGTTTCTTAATTAATGTTTTGTTTTTGGAGTCGTATGTTTATATATAAAGTATTTTTATTACATATTGTTCTAATATTCCACTGTTTGTATTCAGTTTGCTTGTACTGCATGTTGTGCATCCCTGTACCTTGCCATAGGTCGGTGTTACGTTTACTGCCAGTAGAGGGCGCTGATAATAAAGTTAATAAAAGTGTTTGTAATGCATCGCCACCATTTAAATGCTCTTTCAGGTGACCAGGGTTATTGCTGGGTTTTAGATAAACCTGGTGTTTGAGATAAAAGGAAATCTCGATGACCCCTAAACTGACCGAGAGACAGCAGGACTTATCCCTGCCTTTCTAAAATGTCCTGCCCTCTAAACAATGTGCTGCTGGTGTACTCTGGGGTCTCCGTTAAAGTATAGTTGGAAATAAGTGAACATTGCACTGTCAGGAATTCAACGCAATCGTACCACGCTATATTACCGAACTGATAGAGGATCTATTCCCCAGGACTCCTTTCTGACAGTCCCTGGGGGGACGTCATGCACTCTGCCTGAGTGACCTGGTGGAGCATTGTACTACTGATCTTTCTTTTTATAATAGACGGCTACATTTAAAAAGCAACTGCTTGATTTAAAATAAAGGGGGGCACGAATATCCACCTGCACTCTCCACCAACTGGGGAGATGAGTGGCTCCAATCTCTAAAGCCAGCCCTTAAAATCACCTATGCATATGATAGACATCGTATAGCGAGATTTCTAAGCTCTGCTTTTTCACGGATAGTTTTGGTGGCCTCCTGTAGCTATGGGGCAACGGTCAGTATTCACAAAAACTATAAAATGGTTAAACTCTAGCTTGGAGTACCTCTTCTAAAGTTCTTGTATCCTACTCATATTGTTCAGATTACTCTTATTTCACAAAATGACATTTGATCCATTTATGATGTACTGGTGGTGGGCCTTTTATATTCAATATCTGCAATCTCTGCGTTATCCCTCCTATTCTAAGCACAGACATTTTTTATACCATTCTTTCAATTTCTCCTCTCCATTTGTAATGTCTGCCCTGGTTTTTGATATCATTAACTAAATCTAATATAAATTTAAAGAGAACAGGCCCCTCAATTATGTAAATTTCAGATAAGTGATATTACCATGGCAACTGGCTCAATCTCTCCATTCTTCACCATGGTCTTCTCTTCATCGTCTTTTACTTTGTCTGTCTACATATACTCGTTGTAATTATCAGGTCGCAGTATTTGTTTTGCCAGCAGTGCAATATTTATTTTATATCGGTATTTTTAGTAGGATACTTAATATGCGCATTGAAAGATCCATTACTACTAAGCTTGGCATGTTCTAATAACTTTCCTTTTTACAAGGCCCATTTGACAAAGATTACCGATGCAGCCATGAACCTAGTTTGTCTGAGCCCTTTTATTTCTCTGCTGTTTTCATGGTTTTGGCCAACGAGTTGGGTCTTATTTTTAAAAAAACAAAGTACAGGAAAATGTAAATAAATTATTTAAAACAAACTATAACACTTTTTTTTTTTTTTATGTGTGCCTTGCTAGCGTTTACCGTGAGATATATATAATATATATGTGGTTTTACCCCAGAGAGCTAATGTTTGTAGCTTTAACAATTCTTCCAGGTTACTCCCCTATATATCCATTAATCTTCTATTTAATGTGCTCTTACCTGTTCCTACTGCTTCCCCTAAAAGCATTTTTACTGGTTCTCCCCTTTCCCCAAAGAAACATTATTATTTTGAGAGCTGGAGAACAGCTTTGCATTAGCTAGGACATAGGGATATGTTCTGATTCTATAGCACATATATATCATACGATGCAAAGGAGCCAAACAAACTGCTCTATCAGACATTTTCAGATCTGCTTGGGGGGGGAGATTAGTCCCTGTTTTCTTCCCAAGATATTCAGAGAGGCAATGAAGGCACATGGAGGGGGGAGACTTGTCAAAGATTCTCTTTAGAAATTAAGCTCACCATCAGCATCTCCACGCTCCTCATGGACTCTGAACGTTCCTCATAGAAATGCATTGATCAATGAGGAGAGGCTGAATGGTGCAGTGGGGCCTTTTGCTGCGCATGGACGATAGCCTCCCAATGCTTTCCTATGGGAAACCATTGGATAGGCTGAGATCATCAAATCTTTATGACCTCAGCCAAGGAGGTAGGGCCAGCTGTGAGTAAATCAGCTTTAATGGTGGGGGGACGGAGAGGGTAAAGTGGGCAGAGGACCTAGACTGTTATTTTAAACCTATAATGTCAGGAACACTTTAAGTTTAACACTTGTTAAGATGTTCTAGTAGGGAACACCTAGATCTTTCTAGTTGGGAACTCTTTATCTTGTCTCAGTTTTCAACTAGTGTGGTCTGGCAACATATGAGTTAATCCAAAGCTGTTTATTACCCTAGTTTCTATTCTATTTGGGATTAGGTACAACTGCATTTTAATAAATTATGTGCATTTTGGACAGGTTTTTGTTTTTTGTTGTTTTTTTTTTGGGGGTGGCTTCAGAAGGAGATGTTTACTGTATTTTGCGGAGGTTGACCATGGTCAAATGATTTAACTTGTAGCTTTTAAAGATCATTCCTTTTCCTTTTGATAGCAACAATGGAGTTCTTTTCAGCAATACTGGTGGTGTCGTTATTAGGAGTATTTTAATTCCCCAAGCAATTAGAAATAATATTTACCTGCACTATCTTTACCTAGTTATGGGAACACTTTTGATTTACTTAAAGTGGCAGTGTTCCACTTGATTTCATTAAAGGGACACTGCGATCCCAAAAGCATTTAGCTTACTGAAATGCTTTATATGTGAATAGTATGTCCTCTTCTTCTTATTTATTTTTTTATTATTTTATAAAAGTGCAGATTTTAAAAGAAGTTGGCACTTTTAAAAGTTAACCGGTTTACACCCCTTGGCTTTCAAGCAGATAACTGTTACTTTCTGGTTGTTTAGCTCAGTGGAAAATCACTCAAGAGGCAGCAATTGCCCAGAGCACCTGCCTTGCAAAGATTTCTCATTGAGTTGAATTTTGGAGTCTGTGATAGGGCAGCCACAAAAGGTCTGGGCGGGGTTAGAAGGGGAGGGCTTGCAAAGGCAACAGACAAAAGAACTGCAGGTTTCACAAGCCTTTAAAAAAAAACTCCAATGAAAAAATGCATAAATAAATTCATGCATACTTTGGTAAATCTACTAAATATTGGTTTATGTATTTTGCTTTTAATTTGGGCAGTGGAATGTTCCTTTAAAAGTGGATTCATCTTTTATCTCCTCTGATGATGGAATAGGGAATTGGCAATCAAAGAGTTGGCAAAAAAAAAAACCCATAAGTAAACACTGTGCTTTAAAGGGCTAGGGGAGGGTCGATTTTTTTTTAATATGTTGATGAAAACCCTCAGAATATTTGATAGAGTCCTAACCTCAGCATCTGATGAAAGCGTTTTTGGGGTAACTATTTCTGATGACTTAAAGGTAGGCAGACAATGTAATAGAGCAGCAGGAAATGCTAGCAGAATGCTTGGTTGTATAGGGAGAGGTATTAGCAGTAGAAAGACTAAGGTGTTGGTCCATTCCACTGTCCTTTCTCACCTTGACTACTGTAATCCGCTTCTCAGTGGTCTTACGTGCTCCCAACTTGCGCCATTACAGTCCATAATGAATGCGGTGGCGAGGCTCATCTTCCTGTCCGCTTGCACCTCCCATGACTCACCCTTCTGTCAGTCCCTACATTGGCTTCCTATAAAATATAGAGCTCAATTTAAAATTCTGGTTCTTGCTTTCAAATCTCTACATAATGCTGCTCCCACCTATCTCTCCTCCCTTTACACAAGTATGTCCCGTCTAGGCCCTTACGATCTGCTGAAGACCTACGTCTATCTTCTGTCCGTACTCCCACCTCTGATGCTCACCTTCAAGATTTCTCGAGGGCTGCACCGTTCCTGTGGAACTCGCTTCCCTCCTTCGTTAGATGCTCACCCAGTCTCCACTCCTTCAAAAAATCGTTAAAAACCCACTTCTTAATAAAAGCGTATCAATTAAACTGTTAATAGCGCCTGATTCCTCTTCTGCAACTGTCACTAGTCTAATACTATCCTTACCTTTTTGTCATTTTACCCCACTCCCTCTAGCATGTAAGCTCATTGAGCAGGGCCCTCAACCCCTCTGTTCCTGTGTGTCCAACTTGTCTGGTTACAACTACATGTCTGTTCGTCCACCCATTGTAAAGCGCTGCGGAATTTGACGGCGCTCTATAAATATCATAATAATAAAGAGAGAAGTGTTTAATGCCATTGAACAGAACACTGGTGAGACCTCACTTGGAGCATTGTATGCAGTACTGGAGACCGTATCTTCAGAAGGATATTGATACTTAAGAGAGAGTTCAGAGAAGGGCTACTAAACTGGTTCATGGATTGCAGGATAAAACTTACAAGGAAAGTTTAAAGGAACTTAACATGTATAGCTTGGAGGAAAGACGAGACAGGGGGGATATGATAGAAACATTTAAATCCATAAAGGGAATCAACACAGTAAAGGAGAAAAAAAATCTACCACAACAAGAGGACATAGTCTTAAATTAGAGGGTCAAAGGTTTAAAAATATCAGGAAGTATTACTTTACTGAGAGGGTAGTGGATGCATGGAATAGCCTTCCAGCTGAAGTGGTAGAGGTTAACACCGTAAAGGAGTTTAAGCATGCGTGGGATAGGCATAAAGCTATCCTAACCATAAGATAAGGCTAGGGACTAATGAAAGTATTTAGAAAATTGTGAAGACTAGATGGGCCGAATGGTTATCTGCCGTCACATTCTATGTTTACAACAAGGAAGTCTTCATATTGCATGGTTTATTTGTATCATGAGTGCGGTGTTTGGATCGTGTTCTTTGATTTAACCCCCTCAGGACGGAGTCACTAGTACATGCGCTGATCAAAAGAAAATGTAAACAAAAACTGAAATTTGCGCTGTATGTCTGTCCAACCGTAGTTCACCTCTTTCATAATAAGTGCACCCCCACTTATTATATATCATTTTGTTCAGGAGACACAGGGCTTTAACTTCTCATGAACTATTCATACATGAAACATAACTAATTATGAATAAAATAAAAAAAAACTGTGAGAAATTAAGATTGAAAAAAAAATTGTAGTTCTGACTGACAAAAATGCACATATTTGTATTCAGCAAAGTCTCATGAGTAAAACAGTACCCCCTATTAACAGATTTTACTGTGTTTTGGAGAGTTACAGGGTCAAATATAGCACATTACCTTTTTTATTTTTTTCACTTTAAAATTTGCCAGATTAGTAATGTTACCTTTTTAGACCGTGTGGTAGTCCAGGAATTAGAATTACCCCCATGATGGCATACCATTTGCAAAAGTACACATCCCAAGGTATTGCAAGTGGGGTATGTCCAGTCTTTTTTAGTAGCCACTTAGTCACAAACACTGGCAAAAGTTAGCGTTCATATTTGTTTTTGTGTGAAAAAAGCAAAAAACTAATATTTGTCCAGTCTTTGTGACTAACTGGCTACTAATGACTAAATGGCTGGACATACATAATTTGCAATACCTTAGGTTGTCTACTTTTGCAAATGGTGTGCAATCATGGGGGTAATTCTCATTCCTGGGCTACCATACCGTCTTAAAGGCAACATTATCAAACTGGCAAATTTCAATGTGAAAAAAAATGAAATACAAGCCTTATATTTGAATTTCTGACTTTCCAAAACACCATAAAACCTGTACATAGGGGTTACTGTTGTACTTGGGAGACTTCACTGAACACAAACTTAAGTGTTTCAAAACAGTAAAACATATTAAACAATAATATTGACAGTAAAAGTGCAGTTTGTGTATGAAAAATGCCAAAAACTTCATTTTTACTGAAAGTATCATTGTTGTAATACAATTTATCATTTTGAAACACTAATATTTGTGTTCAGCAAAGTCTCCCGAGTAAAACCATACCCCCAGTGTAGAGGTTTTATGGTGTCTTGGAAAGTTACAGGGTTAAATATAGTGCTTGCAAATTAAATTCTCTGCACTTTCTGCCTGGATTGTCAGGCATGTCAATCAAATTTTAATTAATAAAATCACATAATTATGTTAAAAGATTACTTAAATATACACATAGAATTTTAATATATATATATATATATATATATTTAAATTCTACGTGTATACGTATGTAATCATTTATGTAATTATATTTATATAAATATATTTGCGGTTATTTGTATTTTATATATAGATAGATATAGAATGTCATTCTAAGTGTATTTTGTTTCTTATATATATCTCAAAATACAGTTAGAATGAAATTACATATGTGTGTGTGTGTATGTATGTATATATATATATATATATATATAATTTTTTAAAAAAAATATTGTATTTATTCTTGTAATTATACTTGTATGTGTATATATATATAAAATCTTATATGTAACATCAGTCTAAGTGTATTTTAATACTAATATATGTACTTATATTAACATTAAAATACACTATGTATGACGTTACATATATATGTGTGTGTACATATTTTAACATGTTAAATTTTTTATTTTTTTTTACACTTTCCACCAGCAGGGGCACTGTCTGACAGCTCAGACAGTTCCCCTGCTGGCAGATCCACAGCCAGCTATAGGGGGGCCATGTGATCGCTCTTTGAGAGTGATCACATGGCCCCCCGGGGCATGATATGGCATGGGAGGGCTGCCTGGGCTGTCAGGCAGTCCTCCCCAAGCAGAGCGCCGGAAATGTAAGTATCCCAGCAG